TTTTTTTTTTTTTTTTGAGACAGAGCCTCAAGCTGTCCCCCTGGGTAGAGTGCCATGGCATCACAGCTCATAGAAACCTCCAGCTCCTAGGTTTGAGCGAGTCTCTTGCCTCTGCCTCCCAAGTAGCTGGAACCACAGGCACCTGCCGCAACGCCTGGCTATTTTTTGGTTGCAGCCATCATTGTTGTTTGGTGGGCCCGGGCTGGATTCCAACCTGTCACCTTAGGCCTTAGCCACTTGAGCCACAGGCGCTGAGCCAAGAATCCATTTTTCATCACATGTAACAATATGGTATAGAAAGCTTGGCCTTTATGTTGTGCCAGATAAGAAAGCCAAGTTTCAAGATGATTTCTCTTCTGATGCTCATTTAGTTCATGTAGAACCCATCTATCCAGCTTCTTTTCCTTGCCGATTTGTTTCAAATGGTCCAATATTGTTGGAATAGTAACATCAAACCTTGCTAATTCTTGTAACCTCAATGTAACTTCGAGTGCCATTGACTTATGTTTGAAGAAGCTTTTTCAGAGTCTACATGAAGGGATGTTCCTTTAAGATCCTCTAACTTGATTAGAAAGCTAATCATGCAGGAGGCAGACCCTGAAAGCAGAGTCTAGCTGTCTCTGGGATGTCCTGGAAGGGGCCTTGAGAGGGGAGAAACAAGATAAGTTAATGTGCATTTCGGTTAAAGGTTGCACCTGTTTTCTCAGACAAATGGCTGAATAAGTTTTTGTGGTTGTTCTATATGGTTTCTTTGTACTCTTATCACATAAACCATTGGCTGCCAATTAGTTTTATTATTAGAATGTGTACACGCAGAACTTAGTATTGTTAAGACCATATAAGCTTGCAAGAAGTAAAGTTAGGAGCTACATGCTGGAGCGAGCTGTAGTCTCCCCTCTTAAAAACATTTCAGTGCAGACTATTCCTCTGCAGCACCTATTCGTGCAACAATCTCACGCAACAAATTCATGCATAGGTTGACATATATTTGCTTCCACTACAGCTTTCAGCTCATTATTATCCACCTTGGTCTCAGGTCGCCCACATGGCTCATTTTCAGCAATAAAAATCACCAGAATGGAACTTCTCAGAGCAGCAGTGTACTGTGCTTTCATTAGTCACATTCTTTCCAGACACTTCATTGATATTTTGACTCTGCATACTGCATTGGTTCTGTGATGGAACTTACATTCAAAAATAACACATGAATAGGGCAGTACCCATAGCTCAGTGGGTAGGGCACCGGCCACATACACTGAGGCTGGCAGTTCAAATCCAACCCAGACCAGCTAAAACAACAACGACAACTGCAACAAAAAAAATGACCAGGCGTTGTGGTGGGCACCTATAGTCCCAGCTACTTGGGAAGCTGAAGCAAGAGAATTTCTTCAGGCCAAGAGTTTGAGGTTGTTGTGAGCTATGATGCTACAGCACTCTAATAAGGGTAACAAAGTGAGACCTGTCTCCAATAAAAAAACAATAATAAGAAAAGGAAATGATAGATAAGCATTCATATTATTAAAAGACTTTGAATTCCTGGGGGCAAGGAACAAATAAATTCTACTATACTTTTCCATTACCTTGATAATTATTTTTCCTTCCTAGAAACAATAATAAAACACATATTTCTTTCTATTTTTTTAAAATTGAGACAGAGTCTCACTTTGTCACCCTCGGTAGAGTGCCACAGCATCCTAGCTCACAGCAACCTAAGCCTAGGAGTTGGAGGTTGCTGTGAGCTGTATAATGCCACAGCACTCTACCCAGGGTGACAAAGTGAGACTCTGTCTCTAAAGCTGTAATGCCACGGCACTCTACCCAGGGGGA